TGCCGTGGCCGTGGTGGAGACAGCTGGGATGAGTGGTGAGCTTCCTTTCCCATTGCTGAGATTGGGGTTTGCAGTGATTTGCTCCTGCCTGAGGAAAGCTTTGTAGTAACAAGGACATGAGTGTGGCATGAAAGATTCCTGAAGAGCTGTCACAAGGAGTATCTGCTCGAAGAAGGGAGTTTTGAAGTTCTGCTTTTTAGTGGTATTACAGAGTGCCACCCCACTGGTCATCATTTTCTGGCAGCATAGATTTTGTAGCTTTCAATAAAAAGTAAATTTGACTCTTAAAACTTAAATATGAAAAGTTGTAATAACTTATGAAATAAATGTCAGTTGAGGAAAACCAGAGGCATGACTTTTGTGTCTGTTGCTTAAGGTTTTCTTCAGAGAAATTTTCCTTGTAAAAAGTGTTTCATTTCTTTAATATTGTTATTAAGTATTTTGCTATTTCAGTCCTTTTCCCAGCCATGCTGCTTTTTGATAGTTAATTTTCATTTGCCCTGGGTCCTCGTGTGTATGCCACAGTCAAATGTGTTGTTTAGGAGGAGGGCAGGACATGTTTTCTCCTCGAGAATAAAAACAGATGTTTAAAAATTAGGAAATTCCTCTTCCCAGGCTCTGAGATATTCTTTAGATCTTAGATCTAAAGCTGAATTTAAAATAAATGACTTTACCAATTTGTGATGCTGGGCTTGCCTTGCTCTTGCTAGGTAAGTGCTCTATCATGGAGCTACATCCCAAGTCCCTACTTTTTAAAAAAATATGTATATATTTTTAGTTGTAGGTGGACACGATACTATATTTGTTTTTATGTGGTGCTGAGGATTGAACCCAGTGCCTCACGCATGCTAGGCAAGCTCTCTACCACTGAGCTACAACTCAAGCCTGCCCCTACTATTTTAAAAGTAGAATAGAAAGTTTATTTATTAGACGTGGTCATAATAGCTGTTTAATGATGCTCCTGTCTGGGCTATGTGATTGGATTCAAGTTCCATGTTCTGTAAGGAGGACAAAAGTTGTGTCCTAGGATCAGTAAATTAGGTTATAAGTGGTTGCCTCTTTTGCATTCTTCTTTTCATATGACCATCAGATTCTAAGGAAGACATTTACTCTTTGTATAGATAAGGAAACTGAAGTACAGGGACGGTAGATAACACTTACCCAGTATGTCTAGCTGAGCTCTTAAGGTGCAGAGCTAGATTTGACCTGCCTGACCTCAGTCAGGCAAGAGGACTGGAGGAATACAACAGCTGCAGTGATAATTTACTTTCATAAACACAAATATGAACCCATAACATGTAACACCATGATGCTATTTTTTTGGCTGTTAGGCCAGAAGCGAGCAGCTGATTATGGCTTTAGGTATAATTTGAATTGTTTTATTCAGTGTTCTAAATGTAAATTAGTTGTAAGCATTTAAAAAAAAAAAGGCATTAAAAAAAAAACTGAAATGGGAGGATAAATATCTGGCAACACAGGTCCCACTGTCCTGTGCCATAGGAATTGACCTAATTGGACATGAATTAGTGGAGAGGCAGTGAGATCATTCCAGGTTGCTGTTCTTCACCCTCTCCTTTTCTGCCAATTATCATTCTATTCTCAGCCATATTTTCTGATAGATGACTTGCCCAGCCCCTATAGACAATGACATTTCTGACACATTTTAAATAAAGCTATTTTCCTCTTTTTAGACAGTGTTGTGATTTTAGCACCCAGACTTAATGAATATACCTCATCAAATGGGAACACATTTGAGCACTCAGAATCTTGCTGGAATATGAAATTTTGTTTATATTTCCTTATCACCTTATTTTTTGGTTTCCATTTAATTTTATTAGCTCCCAACTTGACATCCTCCCATGTCTTTTACACTTAATTCAAATGATACTGAGATTTTGATGAAAATTTGGGCCTTAGGTATGTAATCACTGTTCACTTTTCCTTTTCACAATGAGAAGGACTATAGTTATAATCTCCTTCCTGGTAACTTTTTTTTTCTATGGAATTTTGTTTACTATAGTTAATCAGATTTGGGCTCCTGTATTATATTGGATTGTAAACTTAACATAAGATTTTAAGACTGGGGTTTAACGGAAGTTTATTAAAGGAACCATGTACTGAATTGCTCATAATTAATGAGATTCTTTTAATTCCTTCCCCTTTGTAGCTGAGATGAGTGAACTGAGTGTGGTACAAAAACCAGAAAAGCTTTTGGAGCGCTGCAAGTACTGGCCTGCTTGTAAAAATGGGGATGAATGTGCATACCATCATCCGATTTCACCTTGCAAGTGAGTAACATAAAACTGATGCTGGTTTTCAGTTTGATTTCTGCAAACTACAGGTTATTTTGTGGGTTTTTTTTTTTTTGGTGGATAAGTTTGATTTTCATAACTAAATACAGTCATATGTACCGTGGTCCTCGGTACAGTAGCTTACTTGTGCTGCATGCATACAGGTGTGTTTAGGGGGTGCTTCTTTTGCTTTGGACCTATTAGATAACTGAAATGTCTGGGTTCCTTAAATGTTTGTACTTAAGGAGATAGGTACATAACTGCCTCTGTTAGTATTACTGTGTTCACAGGCAAAAATTTTGTTGGGGATTTGGGGAGAAATTTAGTTATGGTAATGGAAAAGTATTTTTAAACTTCATTTAGTTTTCTTTGACCAGCTAGCTGGTTCGTGAGATAGCTTTTAGAATTTTTCTCTTGACCTGTGGATGGAGTATTTCCATGTTTTAATTACTGTAAGGAAATTTTGATGTGGGAGAAATGTGGTTACACATAAGGAGACCATGAATCTGTGTAGCACATTACCTGGCCCATAGGATGTGCTTACTGTATTGAGTTTATTTCACAAATGATAGACATTACTGATAAAGTATCATGTTTCTTAACACACACACACACACACCAAAAAAAAAAAAAAAAAAAAAAACCTGCCTTTTCTAATGGTTTGGCTTTTGTTTGAAAACCTTTTTGTGTTGCTCCGGGCTTTGAAGGACATAGTTTTATCCTATTATAATATTTAGCCTCATTTAAAAATGGGAGAATTTTTTTCCTCTGACTTCTGCATTTCTTAAAACAAGTAGTGATGGAGTACAAGAAGCCACTTTACAAAAAAATAATAATGCATTGAGAATATTAACTGTGAATAATGTGCTTTGTTTTATAGAGCCTTCCCCAATTGTAAATTTGCTGAAAAATGTTTGTTTGTTCATCCAAATTGTAAATTTGATGCAAAGTGTACTAAGCCAGATTGTCCCTTTACTCATATGAGTAGAAGAATTCCAGTACTGCCTCCAAAACCAGGTTAGTGACTGTATACTACTGCATTTAGGTTAAAAAAAAAAGCATGAGAAAAAGAAATTTAGAAATAATTTTGACATGGTCAATTAATCATACTAGTCTTACAGAGCTAGTAAGCCATTCTAGAGAATTCTGAAGTATTTTATAATGCCTAGTGAACATATAAAACTTAGCATACTAATTTAAGTGGTTTGCACCTCCATTAAAATCATCATTAGGGCTGGTATTGTGGCTCAGTGGCAGAGTGCTTGCTAACATGACACACTGGGTTCGATTCTCAGCACTGCATATAAATAAATAAAGGTCCGTTGACAGCTAAAAAGGAATCATTAGATTGCAATAAAAATTATTTTGTCAAATATGATATTCTTTATTCTTACATTTGTCAGCAGTTACAACACCAACACCATCTTCTAGTAGTCAGCTCTGCCGTTACTTCCCAGCATGTAAGAAAATGGAATGTCCCTTCTACCATCCAAAAGTAAGAACTTGTATTTTCCCCAAAATAATTTTAGTGTGGAAGGTCACTAAGAAATTGCATCTCTTCCTCTTTCTGTCCTTCCCAGTTTTATATCATTTTTGTCAGTTGACTTTATTGTCTTCAAGAACTGTTCTAAGTTGGTTCTTGGTTGTTGCTGAGCTCTGTGGCTCTTCATGTTAGGTGGTCTGAACCTCTTTCATGTTAGTATTTTGAGCTCTGAGAGGATAAGGGGTCAGCTTTGCTTGCCATATTTTCCTTTTTTTCCTATCCCTGAGCATTTGAGATTTTTTTTTTTTTTAACCCCATGACAGACTGAGGTAATGAAGTTCAGAATTATTACTTTACTTGAAATGATGGTTTTGTGTGCTAAAGATTGTTGATGTATCAGTAGCTGGCTGCTCAGAGTGAATATCTCTGAAATACCAGCCTGAAGATTGTTATTTGAAAGGCTTTCAGGGCAGGGGACATAGCTCAGTGGTAGAATGCTTAACCAGAATAAGTAAGGCTTCATCACAAACTCACAAAAGCTTTGATGAGGGATGTTAGGCAGTTTATGGAGGGATAAATACTATATTGATTAGAAGTCTTGCTGTGATTCTTTGATTAGGATTTTGCATCCCAGGGAAAGGTTCATTCATCAAGGGTTGCCAGGTTTCTTACTCCATTAATGGTTAGGGGTGGGCTGGTTACTCTCAAGTTGTGTTTAATTTTATGCATGTTATTGAATGTTGCTGTTTTATTCATGCTGTTGTTTCTATGTAGCACTGTAGATTTAACACTCAGTGTACAAGACCGGACTGTACATTCTATCATCCCACCATTACTGTACCACCAAGACATGCCTTGAAATGGATTCGACCTCAAACCAGGTAAAGATGAAAATTAATTCTTCTGATGTTATTTTCAAATATTTTTCTAGTATGTAGCTTGTTTAATGTATAAATCCAGAAACCTGGGAGAAATTAAACTATCACTCTTTTCTTTTTCTTCTGTTTAACTGTACAGGGACCCTTTAGCAAAATGATTTACTATGGACCAAATTTTATTTTATCTCGTGATTACTTATTTTTAGCCTATACATCAGATTTCTTTGAATTCTGATCATAAACTATGCTATGTGTGTATGTACTACTTATGAATCTCAAATCATTTTCTTAGACATTAGCAATTGTAAACTATAAAAAAGAAGTTTGAACATAATTTATTGTGGCCTATATTTGAGTTACATATTTTGTTTTATAAAATTCTCTTTTTTTTTTTTTTTAAAAAACAAAGTCTGATGTAACTGCATGACCAATATTCCTTGTCCAAAGATACTCCTTAGCTGGCTGAATGATAAATCTGGATACAAAGCAGTTTATTAAAAGTGTTTTTTTGGTTTTTGTTTATTTAGTGAATGACGCCCAGTCCTATCTGGTGGAAGATCATGCAGTTTGAAAGGTTCCATCTACTGATGAAAGATAATTCTACAGAATTTGTCGAATCTTTGAAACTTGGAATATATTGCTTTCATAACATGAAGTTTATTGTCTATCTGAAGTGTCTAATTTTTCAAGTTTGTAAGTTTATTAAGTAGTTTTAACATTGGGTGTTTTGTTGTTGTTTTGATTATGAAAAGATAGTTTAAGGAAAAGCTAAATTCTATTAAAACATTTGAGGCATGTTTGTACACTGCTGCTTCGGTCTCAGCACATGCCATCATTGTTAGTGATGGTTCTTTCAGTTTAGGACCACTGGAGTGTTGTTATTTTGAAAGCGGAATTGCTTTCACTCTTCCCAAAGATGATATGATGTTTGTAGTCCACCATGAAAATAGGAGTGACCAAAGTATCGAGGCAGCTTAAAATAGTCACTCAAATCTGTTTTAATTTTTAAAAGAATTTAGTTAGAAAAACATGGTAGTACAGGCCTCTGAGTTTGAGTGCCACTTTGGTGCAGTGGTCCCTAGGTCCCTTGCCTTCTGTGAAAGGAGTGGGATGGGCATAAACATGAAAGCAATTGTAATGACAAGTGCAAAAAATATGAACAATTCCTTAAAATACTTTCATTTACTATTAACATACTTTTTAAATAAACTTTTTGGGGAACTACATTGTCACAAAATATACAAAAATTTTTACAAGTATATACATTAGGATCAGAGAAAACAAACTTTTAAACAGATTATAAATATATATTCCCACATTCTGAAAAATAACATTCTCAGAAATAACTCCACAGAAAATACACTTGGTTACTACTGAAGATCATTTTTGAAATGTAAAAATTAGATTTAAGTCATATTTTTAAATGACAGAGCTATATAATTACAGAGATCAGATGGGTAAACTGCAAGATAGGATGAAACTTTTGGCCTACTGTATTTATTGAGTTTTGCGTGTGGTTTTTAAAATTGTTAAGGCAAGATGTGTCCAATGCTTTAGAATTAAATAACAAACAGATAATTGATTTCATTAATGTATAGTAGTGTTTTTAAAAATTAAATCTTAAAAAGTGGTTAGTAAAGAGTGAATTAATGCAGAAGGGATAATAAAGATTCAGATGTTTTCAGGACCAAATTAACTGTTTAAAAAAAAAATTGACTTAGTCATATTCTTGAAGGATGGATAATAAACCCACATCTATAAAAAGCATTTTAAGATCATAAAGCCAGCCTTCTACTGTTGTGATCATTGGTTTTTCCATTGGGAGAAGAAACAACTAGTTGTTAAACCATTTGGTGAGCTGCACTTGGCTGTGGAGATCCCAAAATGAAGACTTGAAACACTGAAAGAACAAAGTACACAAGGGCAGTACAACCACTGTGCTAGGCTAGGTGAGGTGACAGTCCCCTTCATTCTCAGAGTGCTCCACTGAATTTAAGGCATTTGTTCATTCCAGTGTTGATGCTTTGCATCTCTGCAGAAGAAATTTGTTTTTAAATGATTTATTTAAACTATCATTTATAAATGGTTTCTAGATTTCATAGTTCCATTGGAACAAGGGCTTAAGTGCTTAAGCGCAAATCTTTTACATGCTAAAATCTGATTGTTTTAATATTTATCTTTCAGTTTGTGGGGGCAGCTTAAAATTGACCCTAAAATATTTGTTGGTTGGTCTAACAGAGTCTAAAATGAACCACTATAAAAACAGAAGGGGATGAATATGGTTGGTGATAATGAAGTAAATAATACCACAATGTGGGGTGTGCTTTGGCATGCATGTATAGACATAAAAGAATTGGGACTACAGTGGCCACCAGTCTCAAGTTGTAAATTCAGGAGCATAGATGCTGCACACAAAAATAATTCTCTAGGTTAAAAAAATATAGGGCAGATTTTATGTGGTCATATTACACCTTCCCTTAGTTGATGGCTAATACAGCAAGGTGGTAAGATGCCCACTTAAGTCAAGGTGACCTTCAGTCAGGAAACTGCCATAGCAGTGATTAAGTGATTAAGGCTGACTTATGAGGTTGGTCACTTTGATGGACAAAAATGCAATGGAAGCAGTTTGTGCTATATAGATTACTTCCTTAAGAATATAGTTTGACTACATTGTGATGCAATTGAAATTTTTCTCTTCCTCATAACAACACACTTAATAATGAAAATTTAAAACTACAACAGGCTCAAATTTGCAGTAATTTTCTTTTTACATGAGGTTGGCCCTGGGTGCCTTTTCCTTTAATTTTATAAAATATGTTGAATAGAATTAATATAATCTAAAGTTTTGTTTAATTTAGGAAATCCCCTCCCCTTTCTTTTGTGATGGGATATAACCTCCAAGGCCTTGTGCACGCTAGGTAAGCACTGCTTCCACTGAGCAATACCCCCACAACCTTATTTTAATTTTGAGATGGGGTTTTGAGTTGCCCAGGCTGGCCTTGAACTTGTGATCCTCCTGCCTCAGTCTCCTCAGTAGCTTGCATTGGAGTTGTACACCTCTATCCTTGGTTTAGGGGCATTTTATTTATTTATTTTTTGGTACTGGGAATTGAACCCAGCCTGGGATGCTTAACCACTGAGCCACATCCCCAGCCTTTGAGACGGGGTCTAAGTTGCTGAAGCTGACCTCAAAACTTGCAATCCTCCTGCCTCATCCTCCCAAATCACTGGGATTTACAGATATGTGCTACTACACCCAGCTAGGACAATCTTTTATTGTGAATAATGACAGAATATAGTTTATGTGTCAAGTTTCTTTAATCCCTCATTCAACCCTTGAGAGGCAGCTATTTCACTTTTAAAACTGACCAGGTTCAATCACTGAGGAGGCTTTCTTTGATGTAATTTAGTCATTTTAGTATTCCCAGTGTTGGCCACAGAAAATAGATATTGGGAATCTTCATTATGTATTACCAAACTAAACTAGGAATCCCAGAAATCTAAGGGTTTCTATTACCTATTATACTATAAAAGATAAAATAACAGTAAATTAAAAATGTATAGGACCAGTAGTACATCTTTAACTTCTTTACATTTAGAAAAATATATTTTTAAACAGCACTCTATTTAATTTTCAGTCTTCAAGAATCAGTAGATAGACTAAAACATCAAATTCCTGAACAATGATTACTGATCTTTGGCAGCATTTAAAGTTAAAAGGACTGTGGATTTACAAGTTCAACCTCAATCCACTAAGAAGGGATTCTGACAAGTTTTCAAATGGACCTAGGTTCATATATTTTGGAAATTAGCTGATGGAGGGGTGGCAATATGTCTAACTAAAATTTTCCCAATAGAAAAAGCTATAAAAGTTTAATAATACCAATAATTATTAAATTATATGTTTGTGTGAATTTAATGTTAATCAAATGTTTATAGCGTATATCTTTAATATGCAGTGCTTTCTTCCACTTAAATACTATTGTTATCTGAAAACCTTTAAAAAAAAAAAACTCCAAAACTGTAGACTACTGGAAATGATTGTTCATCATACTGCCTTCCTAATAATGAGGCTATAATCTTAAAATTTCAAATATAGAGATGGCTTTTAAACAAAAAGATTTGACAGCTTAGAAGTGAAAATATAGCAAGTCATACACTACTAACTTTGGATTTGTTCCTCAATTCAAACTACAAGGAGAAATGTCCTTTATAAAAAGGGTGTTATTAATGTATGAGATACATTCTCCAGGAAAACTTGTGTTTGTTTCCATAGGGAAAATGTTTGCCTTTTGAAAACTGCTCTGCTAGGGTGAGGTGGCTTTTCCTTTCTAAATGGAAATGCAAGAATAAAATACTTAATTGGACAATGAATCTTGAAAAGAAAATGGAAGTGTTAAAAGGAAACAGTTTTCCTAAAAGGAAGATGAAAATTTTCCGAGTTGGGTTTTTACATTTTGTAGTCTTTTGAGGAGTGCTATACCCTACATCTCCCCAACAGGTTTGCCAAAATTGTACTCCTCAATAATAATGGGGTGGCTTTTATCAACGAGTATTCAATCCTTCCTTCATTGTAATTATCTGGCAGTGAATGAATTATGGACAGTGTGTATAGCAAATGTTTTGAACTTAGCAATCTTCTATTAGTCTTGATGATTCTGGGCATCTCTCCCCGTTAGTCTGCACTTAGCACCACTTGACCATGCAGAGTTTGGTTTTGGTTGTTTTTCTTCTTTGTAATTCTGATCTCTAACGACTGTTAATATGTGTTGTCTTCCCAACATCCATTCTTTCAGTGAGGCATATGTACACATTTCCAGACAAATAAACTGCAATCAGAAAAAAAAAAAATGTAAGGGAGTTCATTACATCTCTAGATTTTCAGAAGTTTGTATTTCCCATTAACTCTTTATTCTGTATTTGCATAAGTATATACTACCTTTAGAAAATGCTGAGTTTATTAACCAGAGCTTACAGAAGTTTTATATTAAATAGTAAAAAGATAGTCTGCTCTTCTTGGACTAAGAAAGCTACTGACCTGCAATCATCACCTCCAGCGCTGATAACATGTCGATCACCATTAGTAAAGCGAATATTTGTCACATGGGGTGAGTGACCCAAGAACCTTTTGTGCTTTGCCTAAAGAACAATGACAAACAAAACTCAGGACATTTTATTTAACAAAAATTAAAAGTTACTATTAGGAACCATAAACTTTTAATCACAAGAACTATGGAGAGAGAGGGGAGTTAGGACCACACTCAATGATTAAAATTTTCTCTCAGAGATAGTAACAGATCTATACTTAAAACAAACCAGGTTATCTGGGCAGTCAGATGTCTTCAGGTCTCAGAAAGATTTTAAGAAAAGCATTGGAAATTTGATAACTGACTTTTAAAGGTTTGCTAAAAAGATCATCAGAGGTGTTATTGGAGGGAGACCCTTTTAGTTGTTGATGGACCTTTATTTTATTTATTTATATTGGTGCTGAGAATTTAATCCAATGCCTCACATAGCTAAGCAACAGCTCTGCCACTGAGCCACTATCCCAGCCTGACATTTATTTTATTTGCGGTAATGGATTTAGGAGACTTGAAAAAAGGGTGCAGAAATTTGAAAGTATGAAACATTTGAAAAGTTGAGTCCAAACATTTGAATATTTCCAAAAAAGTACTAATGATCACATCTAAGCTATTTGTAAAATGATAAAAATACTAAACAAAACAAACTTACAAATTTTTCCGGACATGGGAAGTCAAATAATTTAACCATGCCAAAGTCATCTCCTGTTACAAGGCTGATTCCTGAATGAGATACACAGGCACAGTTGACATCGGCTTTCTCGGCATGCCTGGACCAGATTCCCATAACTTCATCTCCTAGAATACTAGAGAGAAAAAGAACATTCACAGAGCAAACACAGATGGGTTCACTATCCTGAAAACAATCAGTCTGTATATTATCCTGTCATTTAAAATAAAACAAGTGAATTATAAGTATAAGGCAGGTTGGAGGACTGGATTTCATCTGGATGTTAACTCCTACCTTTTAAAAATTGAAGTTCTATAATAAGGGTTTTTAAAATTATCCTTTTAAAAATCCAGTTAATACTTTAGGAAAGCTGACTGAATTATTTTTCAAATTAAAAGTGATATCTATGCTATAGGAATTTGTCATTTTTCATTGACCAAAAGGATGGATGCTCCTGGTGACCTGTCATACAGCCAGCAAATTTATCAAATAGATAAGCTTCATTTCTAACAACTCCAGTGTAACATTCCTTTAAGTAGAATAATATTACATTACTTAATAGCACCTAGCATGTATTTTTTATTGCCTGTTTTAATTTTAAAAAAGATTTTTGTATTTGTTGTACCAAGAATTGAAGCTAGATCTATCCCTTGACCCTTCAAAAAAATTTTTTTTGAGACAGGGTTTTTGTTGAGTTGCCTAGACTGGCTTAGCCTTGAGATCCTCCCAAACCACTGGGATTATAGGTATGCACCTTTGCACCTGTCTTTAAATGTTCAGGAACATATCAGGGCATTTTAAAAATCATAACTTCGATTTTTTTTTTAAAATTACTTTATAACTTGGTAAATCATGGAGACTGATAAAGCATGTAAATATGTTCAATTCAAAGGGATGCAGCATGAACATAAAATTATTTTCCTAAGAGTTCAAGATATGGTAACAGAAACATGGAACTCAATTACTATTCCCTTGTGGAATAGCTCTTAACTATTTAGAAACAGGATTTTCCAAGTTACCTAAAAAGTTGCTTCTGCCATTTCATGCAGTATTTACCTAGTCCATGTAGCCCAAGTAATTCTGTCAATGGCAGCATGATCCAGAAGATGTTTTCCTGAAGGCACTTCATAGACAAGCCGTTTATAGCAACCACTAGAGACCTTTTGTCAAATTAAAGTGAGATGAGAATCCCATTAGGTGAAGGCAAAATCCATAAGGGGTTTATAGAATACTGGCAAATTGCTACTTTGTTTTACATATTTTAATGTGAAGAATGCCAAAGTCACTATGGGGAAAAGGATAAGTGGGAAGGAAATGCAGAGATGTAGGCCAGAGTAGTAGATGTATAGGATGAACACATCTCAAGGCTCAAAGTGCAACACGAGAACTACAGGTAGTAAAATTGTATTGTATTTGATACTCGTGCTGAATTAGTAGATTTAGCCAGTCTTGCCACAAAAAGAGAAATGGGTTTCTGAGATGATGAATATGTTAATTTTCTTCACTATAGTAACTTTTACTTTCACTGTAGCAACACTGTCTATAAATATGTATTCCATAACATGTTGTGTACCTTAAATAGAGTGAAATTTATTTTTAAAAAAGAATGGGGTATTACAGATTTGTAATGCAAAAATGATGAGTGGTAACAAAAGGCAAGAGCTGAGAAGCCCTGGAACTCTGCTTTAAATGCATTCAGCGTAAAAGCAGAAATAACCTTGTAAACTGGGTATATGGTATTAGGTGCCATACCTGGAGATATCTGCTATCTGCAGAGAAGTCCATTTGAATGACAAAGCTTGGGATGTCTTTGCAATAGCTGATTCTGTTAAGGGTGGGGCCCAATGTTAGGTCATAAAAATCCACTGAGTTCTCACTAGAACCAACTGCCAGATATCGGGAATCTGGACTAAACCTGAATATATAACAAAATGTAAAAAAAATACATTAGATCATAAGAAATAGTTTAAATATTTAGATATTTAAGAAATTTCCTTTCTAGCTCTTGAAAGTAAGTTTGTGATACGGTATCAAATTTGTCTGACACAACTGACCATGTATACGGCGACTGTATTAAATGAAATAAGAAAGTTTTATATTTCATTTGAATATTCTATTGTTATCACCCAATACTTTTTAAAATATCTTTTAAAAAATCCATTACCATTCCATAATTATTAATATAATTCACTAAGATAGGATTCTTTCAGCTGGAAAAATGATATCTTAAAGCTGCTTTAAGAACATAGTCTAGCTCAGCTTGCTTCAGCTTGTTGAGATGAAGTGACTAGTTGAAGCTTGGAAGAACTTGTGTTAAAAGACAGAGTGAAATACAATTTGCCTGGTAAGCATGGGAGACAGCCTGAGACAGTCTGAGAATGTTCTATGAGTCTTGTTGAGATAACTTAGGGACATGTAGGGGCAAGGAAAGCCACTTTTACTGTTTTTACACACTAAAGTTCTGAGCAGATTTCGTTTATGAAAGGACTTTACTGGTGAAGAAAGCACACTTTGACAGATGCAGTAATTTCATCTACTGATCACAGAGAAGTGCCCAGTGAAGTGGCAGCTCAGTTAAATAAGCGTAAGCACTGAAAATTAAAATTTCCAAAAAAAAGTTTGATTCCGATTCTGGAACCTGAAAGGTGTTCAGCGCTGACAGACTGAATGAACAAGAAATGGGAATCCAGAGAAGGTACATTAAAAGCAAAAAAGGAGAAACATGAAGGGAAAGATCACAGAGGATAATCTGTGAAGCCTAACTGATAGTAAGAGAAGCTATGTTTGGGGTTATAACTTTTGTTTTTACAACTTCTAAAGGGCAGGTGACTCTTGTATTAAGAATAAGAGTTCATAATGAATTTGCTGTACATGTTTAGTGTGTAACATTACCTAGTACTTCGTATTATAAAGCACTGGTTGGTGCCCCTTGATTAAACATTGCAAAGAGAATTAAGTATATAAGTGGCCACATTTCAGCATACAATTTACATAGAATGCTATAAGTCACATGGCCTTTTTTGAAGGTGTAGATAAGGTTTTTTGCAAGCTGGGCCCATTTAATTAATTTCAAAAATTCTATTTCATTTGTCAACTAACCTGATATCATGGATTGCACATCGTCTATCTCTCTTCTTTCCCCATATTTTTAGAGAGCTCACAAGTAAAATAATAAATTCTCCATTTTTCATTCCAATAGCCACCATGTCCCCTTCAGGGCTATAACACACAGTACGAGCAGCATGTCCCAAATTCACTTTGTTTAACATCTTCTGTATAAGAAGCAAAACAGTCACAGAAGACCAAGTTAGAAGTACTTAAAAATTTAGCCAGTTTCCTCCCAAAATTCTCAACATAATTCTGAGTACTAGCAATTTAGGGTTTCCACTTCTTAGAAACTAACATTTTTTAAAAAGTTGTACCTACTTTGTCAGCAATATCCCAGAGTCTCACTGTCCCATCCTCTGCAGCAGAAAGGAAAAAATCCCTGGAAGGATGTGTTGCTAGCCCCCAGATCGGTCCATCCACATGTCCGCTAACCAAAATATTACATGCTGCATTTTTCTCTCCAACTTCAATTATTTCGGCATTCCTTGTCCCAACTAGTATCTTGCCCTGAAACATAAAAGGGAATGATATATGTAATGTACCACAACAGGTACATGCTTTGAGCTAATTTAGTCACAAGCCCATCATTAGCTCATGTGAATTTTTCTGTGCCTATAGGCACACATCAGCAAGACCCCTGAGCTGGGGTGCATAGTTGAGTCCATGTGAAGAGAATACACCTAGATTCTTAAATAATCCGAGTTGTGACTTTGTGATAGTCTAAGGATGTCCAAAAAGGGGTATAAGTACATTGAGATATAGGAAGATAGAACTGGAATTTTTAAAGAGCAAGTATAAATAAGCTAAGCTAATATTTGAGTAAGCAGAATGAGGTTAATGCACATACATGATTTATAAACACACTTAATGAGGGCACACATGCTCCACAGTTTTTATAGGAATGTATGTTTTTACAAAGTGTTTACAGCTGTCTAATCAAAATGAGTCAACTAGCAGGGATTTTCAATTCTGTCTACCACAGTTAGCAGATTTAAGAAAGGAAACCCTGTTTAGACAGAATGGCTTCCCATCTTATGTACTGCACTGGCATCAACTACGGAACTCAAAGTGGAGTGATAACTAGCAAGTGAACCCATCCTCATGTATTATTAAATATTGTCCATTAAATCAACAATGTGAGAGAATCAGTAAAAACTGCTGTTTTCTGCTACACCATATCAGGTCAAGGAACATCTTACTTTGCCTCTGCACACGGAACGAACACAGTCTGTGGCTTGTCCTGTCTCAAGCCTGAAGGCCCGGCATCGTCTCAGTTCCTGATCCCACAGTTTAACTGCTCCTCCTTCTTTTGACCTAAGTAAATAAAAACCAAACCCCAAAAGTATCTTAGTAACTATTATAGATAATTTTCATTATAACGAATACTAAATTTTAAGTAGAATACTAAAAAAGCCCTATATAATTTATTATAAATTTCTATGGCAATCTTAGGATTCAGCAAATTTTATTTTGTGAACTTATTCATTTTTCTCTGGCATATCTTGTTTAGCTTCCACCATACATTTTCCTCTTCATAATACTTAAGATGAGCGAAAAACCATTTTTAACATAGGAATTGAAACGTGAAGCAAGATAATAGGATTACAGATGATACACTATAGAGTCTTATTTACTTGGGGGCGCCTTACCATTGAGCTGCATCCCCAGTCTTTTATTTTGAGACAGGTTCTCATAAAATTGCTGATGGTCTCACTAAATTGCCAAGGCTGGCCTCAAATTTTTGAATCTCCTGCTTTAGCCTCCTGAGTTGCTAGGATTACAAGTGCACACCATCATGCCCTGCTATAGAGTTTATTTTTAAGGGCCAAAAAAGAAGCACGTTTTTTTCCTACCACTATCAAGACATCCTATAGTTCAAAGGCTACCAGTGAGAAGTGGTGTGCAAAATGGGGAGATGTGAGAAATACAAGTGTGTAGTTATTTGTAAAAGACAGTCCACTTTTAGATTTTCTCTTGGAATAACTGAACAATGTATTTGTTTTTTGTTGGATAAATTTGCTTGTCTTAGGAGAACATGTGCCTGCATGCCACGATACATTCATTCTTCAGGTGAAAAGGAAATGCTGTTCTTTTAACTGATGAATGTGGGTTCTTTCCATTCCTGTAGTGAAATGTGCTTGTGTGTCACATTCCAACATGTAGATATATCTAGTTACTGCTGGGAGATTTGAAAATCATTCAGAAACAGGTTTCTCCTTACATTTACATATATATTTTTAAATTTTTAGTTGTAGATGGACATAATACCTTTATGTTAATTATTTTTATGTGGTGCTGAGGATCAAACCCAGTGCCTCACACATGGAAGGCAAATAACTGATGCACGCACACAGTCCTGAGGAAACTCAGTTCTTTTTTTTTTTTTTAATTTGTTTTTAGTTGTCAGTGGATCTTTTATTTATTTGTATGCGGTGCTGAGGATCGAGCCCAGGGCCTCACACATGCCAGGCAAGCGCTCTACCACTGAGCTACAACTCCAGCTCAAACTAAGTTCTTATCTGTAAGAAAAATACCTATCTAGACCTAAGAAAAAGTATCTACCATTGGAGTTTAGGTTTATCTACAAGGGGGGAAAAAGCGATTTAAGATTAGGTAGGAGAATCCAGAGAAGGAACATAGAAGGCAATATAGTTGAAGCATATGAGGAGGAAGGCCAGAGAAGATAACCCATATCCTAGAAATAACCAGAATACCTAACTGTGAAAACCCTAGGTAGATGACAAATGCAAGTATTCAGTGAGGCTGTGAAAAGAAAGAGGACTCACGGCCTTTCTTTGCCACCAGTCACAATAAGTCCATCTCGCAGGGTGGTATACATGGCAAACACGGGCCCGTTGTGAGCTCTGGCCACAACTCTACACAATATGTGATCTTTCCACACACAGACATCACCACTGATGGTACCTGTAAACGTCAAGTTATTCTGAAAAGGAGTGGGGAAGGGGGAGATAAACTCATCAAAAGTGCAAAGAGAGTTCAAACAGATGTAATCTGTGAGTGTGTTGCTACTTCATCTGTGATTCAGCATGTGCAAGGTATGGATGGAGAGATGGACCCAAGAGGCAGAACCTGAACTCCAGGCTCAGCTGCCTCATGGCTTTTCCTTTCCCAGTCTGTCACTTAGCTAGGGTAACTTTGGACAGTTCTCTCTTTCTAACTCTAAAATGCTGTAATTCTAATTTATATTCTTTTGTTGGACTGCTTCCTTCCAACTGCTCAATAAATAAAGTTCGCAGATTTAAAAAAAAAAAGGAACAACAAATGAACACTTTTTATTAGGTTCAGCAAAGCATTTTCCCATAGAAAATAAAACTGTTATCTGTACCAGTCATAGGGGGTTTTTAGTTCTGATGATTTCACTCACTTTAGCAGTAGCACTAATTCATGTCTGTCTGCAAGGAGAATGTAAGTTCTGTGGGCATGGAGATGATTTCCCTTTTCTTTTTATAGTTCCTAACATAGACTCAAAGATGCTTAAACTGAAAAATATCACATTTTGCCAAATATGTACCACTTTTATGTTTTTATATGTTTTAACAACTTAAAAAATGCTTAAACTGAGCATAAACTTACTTATATTCTGATTATACTGTTGCTTCATACATTAAAACTCACTTATTCTTAATATTTAATCTTAGTTTATTTTTTTATTGACTATGAGGAATTTTAAAAGTGAAGGAAGTTCATCTACATGGGCAAATGAAATGTCAGAAGCATGTAAATGTGTGGGTTTTCTTCTGGAAATAAACTACTGGTCTAATGTTAAGAATGCCCAGAATGTTCAATTGGAGCTTAATATAGCATGACCAACATTTTCAGTGGCCTTTTCCCCCAAACATAAGTGTAGCTAATTGTTCTAAACTTATTTTTTTTCCTTCCTTCAAATAATTTCATACCTATATAAACACATAATAAGGAAATCTGCTTTGTTGTTGTTTTTATTTCACCAAAGGATTTTAGAAGCCTAGCCAGAGTAAGGTATTAAAGAAAAGACTGGGGATTATAAATTCACCCATGGGCCCATGTAGGACCTAGTAAGGAGAGGAAGAGGGAAGGCTCTTGATCTCTCTTCTGTCAAACCAGAGACTGTGCTTTCTCCTTTTGTCTCTCTACTCCCTTCTTGGCCCAGGACACTTGCAACTATATAAGATGAAAGAAAGCAAAGGAAATCCTAAACCCAGGTCCAAACTTAAATTACTTGAAAATCATGCTTCTTGATTCATTTTTCCTTTTTAAAAAAATATTTATTTTTAGTTGTAGTTGGACACGATTCCTTTATTTTATTTATTTATTTTATGTAGTGCTAAGGATTGAACCCAGGGCCTCACACGTGCTAGGTGAGCACACTGAGCCAAAACCCCAACCCCTCATATTTCTTTTACTCTAACAAAAAAATTTTTTTTTCGTTTGCAGTACTAGGGACTGAATCAAAGGGCTTTACCTATGAGCTACATCCACAGCCGCCTTATTTATTTTTTATTTTTATTTTTTAGTTTTCGGCAGACACAACATCTTTGTTTGTATGTGGTGCTGAGGATCGAACCCAGACCGCACGCATGCCAGGCGAGCGTGCTACCGCTTGAGCCACATCCCCAGCCCGCCTTTTTATTTTTTAAAAATTTAAGACTGTCACTAAGTTACCTAGGCTGGCTGGCCTTGAATTTGTGATCCTCCTGCCTCAGCCTTTTGAGTAGTTGGGATTACAGGCATGTGCCGTTGCACCTGGCTACTCTTAACAAATTTTTAGGTATGTGAAGAACTGTTAGGAAGACAGAAGTTTCAGGATATATATGGTGACAGTTACAAGACTAGTGAAAGCCTTGGAGAACAGCAAAAGCCTAAGGATTCAAATTTTCATCATAATCCTCCCTCAAGAGCTTTCTTTCCCACTCCCTCATTTCTGAAACTATCAGACTTTTGAAAAATGAAATACATGCCTGACTAGGACATATAGTGATCAACAGATTACCTGCCATATTAACATTGATGTGGCTTATTTCAGGCAAGAAAATTGGTAGTCAAAATTACACCCCTACACAACATTTTAAGAGACATACTGCACCAAATGCAACAGCAAGCATGGTCTGCATCCGGGCATCTTCCAGTGTGTTCAGCAGCCCTTTTTTGCTAAGAAGAGCCCTTCCTGCCAGGGTCCAGAACTTCACGTGTTTTACTCCCACAGAGACAAACTGGGTATCTGAATCTGGTCGGAATTCTGCTACAAAAATACGTTGGTTGTGCCCCACTCTGCTGGCAATCTTGGCACCTGATAAGAAGATACAACGAAATTATCCAAGTTAATATAAGAACCTAGCTAATCAACAGGCATGTTTGGGGGCTAGAGATGTAGTTCAGTGTTAGAGCTTATGGCTTATATCAATCCTCAACATGGGGGGGAGGCACTGTTTTAGATACATTTTTAATTGTTATATAATTAAATAATTGTTAAAAATACATGAATTTTTAAAAAATGCTTATTAAAGGGAGGGCTGTGGTCCTTGCTCTGTTACCAAGCAATCACATGACTATAATTACTTGGGTAGAAAGTCCTTTATAACTCCATAACTTGAGTTATGTATTTAAAGGGAGCTCCATTACCATTTAAGGGTCATAAAATGATTTTGGGCAACATTCTTTTCTTTTCCCTGTATATTTGGTAATACTATCCTATTGGTCTTCCAATATCATTTAAAATATACTTCATGGGTCAGGAATGCAGCACCTGTCTAACTAGCACTGAGCCTTGGGCTTAATCCCATCACTGCAAACACTCACAGGCATGCACACACACACATTTCATTCTTTATTAAGGTCCTCTAACACCAATCAATCACTAATAATTAGCGAAGATACATATATAGTTTCTTACTGAAAGGAACAGCAGTTAATAATTTTTAATAATAATAATTTCATTAATTTTATGTTTTGTGAACTTAGAATTTCACTGGACTTTTAAAGTGAAACCTACCTATAGGACCACAAACTGTGTGCATGTACTGGATAGAGCTATTGTGAATGATGGTTTCAATCACCAACTTAAGGCAAATATTAAATACATAATTCATATTCACACACATTATCCTACCTTCTTGCCATCTCCAAATGGTAATGGTATGTTCTGGGTCTAGTCCCACAGACAGCAAGAGTTTGCCAGTAGCACTGAAGCTGACCGAACATACTCCCTTTGAATGGTAGCATCTTAGTATAGATAGAGTCTGCTTGCTCACTGCATCCCAGATGTGGATAGAAGGGGCTGTGGCTAAACAAAGATGAAATCCAAAAGTTGGAACTGACTTGTTATAAATGGTTCCATTTCTAAAATATATAAACCCATCTCTGAAACATGGAAAAATGTACCTGAGAAGGAGTATACTTAACAAAGAGTAGCTCAAACTAAGACTAAATTTTTGGAAAACAAAACAAAACCAGAATACTTCTTTAGGCTATATTTCCAATTGCACTTTTGAGAAAATAGCATTTATACAAAAATCAGTCCATCATAACATTAAACAACTTATCAAAAAATAAGGCATGTTTGGGGGCTAGAGATGTAGTTCAGTGTTGGAGCTTATGGCTTATTCTCAACATCAGAGGGGGAAAAGGCACTGTTTTAGACACATTTTAATTGTTATATAATTATATAGAGAGCTATCTACATTTTTATACAATAAATATGTTAAATACAAATATATATTTAGCATCAATGTTACCTGGGAGAGAAATGAAAAGCAGACACAGTTATGAAAAGCAATACTTAGAAAACCACCTGAACAAATCTCAAAAGAAAATTTTGACAATATAGATAGCTACATATTCCTTTATAAGAATTTTTTTAAAAACCCAGAAGTTTAGGGAAAGATAAAACTCAAAATCTTTAAAAAAACAAAAAACTTTAATCATCCTATGCAGTGCTGCTACTACTTAAAAAGTTGCTTCCGGTTCTGTTGTTTGTTTTTTTTTTTTGTAGATTGGTTTTTACAGTGCGGAGGATTGAGCCTCACACATGCTAGGTAAGCATTCTACCATTAAATTACATTCCCAGCTTGATTCTCTGTATTTTATAAATTAAAATACCATAGCTTTGTATTATTATTTTTCCTGAACTACACTCTATAACTAATTCAGTCTTAGAATGAATGTACTTTGAGTAAAACAATTAAAATACTAAGTGCATTTTCTTCAAATTATACATGTTATACATACTGCAAAAAGAGAGAAATATTAAGACAAGTTGTATTAAATTATTTGATGCAGAAAGAAATTTTGGTATCTAAAAAAATATTTTTCACCATTTGCTATTTATAGAACACAATGGTACATTAAATCTGATAATTCAAGTAAAGCAGTTAAAATTTATTAAATCAGATATTTAAACTTGAGTATCATTAAGTAGAGAGGTTTATGTACCAGTAAAATATCAAAACTATAGAGAACTAGATATAAAAATTTGCCAATAATAAAATAGGTTGTTTGAAAATTTTATTATAATAATTTAAGTACTGGGCTAAAAATGTTCCACATTCACTAAAAGTCAAAGTTTACCTAGGGCATAGTTGAACTGAGTCTCAATAAGGCATGTTAGATGGCTTAAATCGGTCAGAGTAATAGGAAGGATTTTTAGGTGATGGTTCTGAAAGGAGTTTTATTCCTCTTTCCCACTGGATGAAAGCAAGGAAGCATGTGACTTCAAATGCTGCTGCAGCCCTTGAGTGACCACGAATGCAACTGGCCTTATTGGTGAGGCCAATGCTATGCCTGGCAGAGTGGCAAAGAGGGAACATGCCTGGATCCTGGGTCCTGGAAGTGCTCCAGAAGCAGCAGACTCAGGAGACTACCGGCCTTCCTCACTGTTCTTGCTAATAAACATCCTTTTCTGTTGTAGAGGGCACCCAGAGACCCACAAAGCCATCTGATAGACACCCACTACCACAACAAATACTAAGCAAAAGCAGAGGGAAAACTCTCCTGCCTAAAGGATCAAAGGTATCAAATTCTTAAGTTCCACATATAGTCATGGAGGACTGAAATAACTTTGTCAGAGATAAAAGTATTCCCTTAGTGTCCACTGAAAATACATCTAATGTCTTCAGGGTAATTCCACCATATCTTTTCTACTATAAGTGTTTATCAACCTACATTCCAAAGTAACTATTTGAGAACTTCACTCCTCTTAAAAACAACCCCTGCTTCTCCCCTCCCTACTCTCAGTTGATGACATAATCAGATAGGTGTTTCATTATTTTATCATCCCCAAATCTACCATTTTATATTTGTACCTAAACTGCCTTCATTCTTTATGTATATAGACAGTTCTCCCTGCCCAATGCATTTCCCCCCAAGTATTCGCCCATCTCATTTAGCTAACTGCTCAAGCAAAAAAATAGTATTTAGCCTCACTTTATCTTACCCAAAATCCAACTCATCAGAGAAGATTGCTGGATTTACCTCTAAACTATGTCCCAAGTCTGTCTAGTTTTATCTACTTTCACTCCTGCTACCCTTGTTTGTCTTTTGCTTAGACTATAATAATAGGCTCCTAATTGTCTAACTTCCTCTTTCTCAACAAGCTAGTGGAGGTGGCTTTCTCAAAATACAAATTAGATCATTGTGATATTTAAAATTCTCCAGTGACAGACTGACCTTGACATGAATCCAGACTCCCTCTGGGAGCTGACCCCTCTCCCTCCTTCTCACTGTGGTTATCTCAGCAGCTTTCCCCCAGGCACACTCACTTTCTAGTTTCTTGACCCAGCCTTAGGTTTTACACAGGCTAGAGGTTGGTCATTAGAAGGCCCTGCCTGTGGGCTGGCTCTTGGAGTGTGTAAGAACTTGGCTTCTGAAGTGTTCCTTATGTTATACAACTGCTCTGTCTTGTTAGGGGCACTGACACCTGCTTTCTTCTGGGAGTCTGGTATTTTGGTACTTGTGATTGCACTTCACGTCTATGTGCCCAACCCCAAATAAAAGCCCTGGACTCTGAGTCTTAAGTGGGCTTCCCTGGCAAAACACCCATGTGTATGGCTAGATTAGCTGGTGGGGATAAAGCTGGCCTTGTGGCCCCTGCGGGAGCCAGAAAATCTATGACTGGGTCCTCCAGACTCTGCCTTATTTGTCCTTTTCTCTTGCTGGACAACCAACTCTGAGCACTGCAATTCCTTCCAGTGAATTCTGAATGCATGGTAATTCTTGAGACCCCCAAAATGAGCCTCAGCCTGGAGCTTTCATTCATGTCTTGGCTGTCAATTTACATCATTCCTGGCATGGCTACTGGGATATTAAGCTTGTATTAATAATCTAAATTCATGAAACTGATAATAATTAAGTCAGACGGCAAATAAAACAACTGTTGACAATCACAAAAATTCACGTTCAGTAACAGATGATAGAAATATTTTTCACAAACTACCTGCTGAGAATAAAAAAGTTCCATTCAAGCTTGGTAAATTTATCCAACTATCCCTTTTGCTATTCCCCACATATTTTTTTATCATCAGTTGTGCTATGTCTCAGAACCACTTAAAGTTGTACTAAAATGTTTCCTTATCTTCTTCAAAAATAATTTTTTTGTAGTTCCAAGGAGGCTATTTATAGAGGCTAACTCTTCTGTCTCTTCAGAGTTGGCATCTTGAATAGTGACTGGCTAGTACTTACAGCATCTATCAAACCGTCAAAAGCTAAAGGAAACCACACAAAATAATTTGGTGGTAAAATACTGACATAGGGTTAGGGGATATAGTTCAGTGGAAGAGATTATGCTTAACAATGCACAAGGCCCTGGGTCTGGTCCCCAGCACCAGAAAAAAAAATAATAATGCATACTGTATTATTATTATTATTATTTTGGTACCACGGAACTAACCCAGGCGCACTTAACACTGCTCCACATCCCAGCTATTTTTAAATTTTTTATTTTGAGACAGACCCTCACTAAGTTACTGAAGCTGGACTCAAACTTTCAATCATCCTGCATCAGCCTCCTGAGTTGCTGCGATTACAGGCATGCGCCACCATATCTGGCTATGTAACATTCTTTTAGCACAACTATAGTGTCATTCCATAATAAACACAATTCTTTACCATCTCATTTGAGAACAACATAATCCACACTTCACTGTACCTTAAAAGTATAACATTCAAAATCCACTTTTCTTCCCTCACCCTTGTTTTGACATTATAGAGATGCACTGGTTAAAAAAGAAAGTAAACGTTGTAGTACAGATATATGTGTATGTGTATACATGTGTGTGCGTGTATCTATCTTAAAACCTGTGAAGTTATAATTGTGTCACCGTAACGTATACTGTGTAACTTATGAGACTGTCACAGTCTCTGCAGCCACTCAACTCTACCATTAACAACACAAAAACCACCACAGATACTCTGTAAGTGAGCATGGCTATGCCTAATAAAGCTTGGTTAACAAATACAGAAATCTGAATTTCATATAATTTTCATATGTCATAAAATAGCATTCTTTTAATTTTTCCCAACTACTTAAATTAATAAAACTGGGCTGTACAAAAGCAGGTGGTGGCCCAAATAAAGCCCATGAGCTATGGTTTGCCAACCCCTGCTTCCAGGTGAAACCAAGTAAGCAGTGACCTTGCCTGTTGATTTGAATAAATTAATAGTTGATTTGTCAAATCATAAAATCATATTCTGCCCTGATGGAGGGGAAAGAAACAGATATAAATCTTTTATCAAACTGCTAATTCATATTATATTACATAAATTTAAAATATAGTTGAAAAGGATTAGTTATTGTAATTTCTAAAGAAAATAGCTACACATTGTTAATTTAATTATTATCTTTAATTCATAAAGCTAAGATTAATAATAGTTCTAAATCTTTAAGTGATCTGTTGATTTAATATACACAACTAAGATAGTATGTAAAAACCTGATTTTATTTTTGTAATTTTATTCAGAGTCAATATAATTTATTTATATTTAAGATTAAGTTTTGATCATTTTGATCATTTTTTCCCTTTCCTTTCCCCCCCTTTTTTTTTCTGCTAGGGATTACCTCCAAGCTCTCCCACCTCCACTTTTCCTAACCTTATAATGTTACCAAGTTAGTAACTACTATGAAGAATTCTTGTGATGATTAAATGAGGTAGTATAAGGAAAGTACTTAGATTGGTTCCATGGTTATGGAAAAAAAGGTCAAAACATTCATTTTTTAAAAAATACTATTATTGCAGATTGAGCTCAGTATCGTGTTATTAAACTAATATATTCTTTATTACAAATAATTTACAAACTTTTTGTAGAGTAATAAGATGTTTGATGCAAGTAATAATAGTCACTCAGATATCTTATTTACTTTATAAAAATTTGGGCTACCATTACCAAACAATATAAATAAAACTGAAAATATTAAATTTTTCCTTACCTGACATATCTGCTGAATCACCTATAAAAGAAAGCAACAGAAAAGTTGTTACCAATAAATAACACAAATGCCTTAAAATCTGCAAAACCCATTATCATAAATATTTTTAAAATAACTTAATAAAATATATGTAATCAGTTGTATTACACTGAGTAAACAGAGAGAAGGCAACCATTTCAATTATATGCACATATTAACATTCTATGTATGACCTTTCAATCTTTCTTTGATAAAAACAATTTTCTTCATAATTAATGACTTACATGAAATTGTAATTATAACTTTAAAAATAATATTTATATGATTTAAATTGATAATACACTTATTTTGGGGTCATAAAATGTACCACTTAATGAGTCTTTTGGAATTTTAATGCATCTCTGCCTACAGGGAAGAATTTAATCTAAATCTTCTGAGGGACATGATAGCAAAGATTACAATATAACTCAAGAAAAAAAAATTTTTTTTAAACTAAATATTTTCACTATGAGTTAAAGTTTGCCAAGAAAATATGAATACCTATCTATACTCATTGTATTTGTGGTGAAAATACCTGTTTAAAAAAAAACTTAAAAATTAACAGTCTTTAGGGCTGGGATTGTGGCTCAGTGGTAGAGTGCTTGCCTAGAACGTGTGAGGCACTGGGTTCAATCCTCAGCACCACATAAAAGAATTAACAGTCTTTACCAAAGAAAAAAGGAGTAGGATCAAACCCAGGCCACATGCATGCCAGGCAAGCGCACTATGGCTTGAGCCACATCCCCAGCCCTAATTCTGTGATTTCAAATCCCCAAATGGGGAAGGAGGCTCCCCTATGGAAAGCAATCTCACTGTTCTCATATATACCTTGACCCATGAAATGTAGTTGGAAGATGTCCAGAGTGGACATTCTAAAAGAAGTACTAGAGAAGACTCTGTCAGAATAGGATAGTTTCCAAAACTGGAGAAAAAAAGTTATAGGAAAAAGTGATTACATGTTCTAGGTACCCCCAAAATGAAGACCAATGAGTAGCAATTAGAGAGACATATTTCCATTCTATGTGGAGAACTATTTTATAAATGAGCTTCCTAGGGAGAGGTTAGACTACCATATTAGGCATAAAATAGTGATGGGTTCAATGGATAAAAAGATACATTCGGTCCTGAGATTTAAGATTCTAGTCAAGAAAATAAAAGTCTGAGTGTAACTGGCTAACATACCACAAAGTAAATATTTAAATTTCTTTATGATCCATATAATTTTTTAAAAAAAACCCAACAACTTAAATGGTGTTTTGTGCCTTGTGGGTATTAAATAAGCTTGGCAGCAAAGTGACTACCTATCAGTTCCCTTTAAGAAAAAACATCCCTCTCCATTCTTTGTTCTTCCTTGAGTCCCTCTTATACTTAGTCATCAGTGAAGCATTTTTTGTTAACCATTTTATAAAAAATTACAAGTGAGACAAGGCACAGGGCTACGTGCATGATTTAAAATTCACCTCTGCACTGCAGAGTTTGACTTGGAAAGAGAAGGGAAGACCATGAGCCATTCCACGTTCCCTGAACTGTTGCCTTTCAAAATAAAGGGAAAGAAGTGGAGAAAGGGGCCAAAATTCTGAAAGATTAATGTGTGACTATGACAATACTCAACTAAAAGAAACCTATGGCACTAATATGAGAAAAGTTGCTTAACAAAAGGAGAGCAGAAGAAAGAAAAGAAGAATGAGCAAACAAAGAACCATACCTTCTAGAATTCTATTCACAAAATGTAAATTACATTAAAACTGGGATTTTGTCTTTTTATAAGCTGCTAGAAGAATACATTGCACATGGTAGGTGCTTAATAAGTTTGTTGAATAAATAATTTACTCAGTAACAATTAACAGAGCAATAACTATATACCAAGAGATATGAAGCCAGGTGTATGGTCTCTATTCCTTCAGGAGATAGGCCTTATTCCTTGTGCAGAGGAAAACAAGACATCACTTTCAAAGAACTTAGTGCAAATGGGAGTATACATATATATTCCTATACAAAGATTAGAATACTGGGTACTGTAATAGTCTGCTTTCCTTTAAAAGCAGAAAACTGTACAGAAGGAAAAAGAGCAGGGACCCAGGGGGCATAGCAATAGAACCAGGAAAGGCAGAGAACAAGTTTTTGACTAATCAATTCAGTACTTGCATGAAAAAATAAGATATTAAAAGCATAATTTTTTAAGAAAAAGATAGCTAGAAAGCTAGCTTAGCAACCACAACCCCTGAGGTCCAACCAACCCAATGATTTTAAGAACTTTACAAGCTATATGAAAGCTGTGAAGATATGACTGACCAAATCTATAATGTAGTATTCATAGTGATCAATGATTGGTAGATATGTCCAAATAGATCTGCTATCTTCAATCATTTTGGTTGTAAATCTATGGCCTTTAAATTTTTGACCAAGGTTAAAAAAAAATTTAAAAAAGCAAGTAAACAGTGATTCCAGCAACTCAGGAGTCTGAGGCACGAGGATTGCAAGTTCAAGACCAGCTTTGGCAACCTAGTGAGATCCTATCTTGTAGAAAAAAAGGGGAGAGGGAGACTATGCATGTAGCTCAGTGGTAGAGAGCCCCTGGGTTTAATCCCTGGTACTGTAAAACAAACAACAACAACAAAAACATTTGATGAATCAGATTAATACTAAAGAAAAGGAAAAGACAGTGGGGATTTACAAACATGAAACAAATTTGTTTTTTCACTTTTTTAAAAATATTTTTTTAGTGTAGATGAACACAATATCTTTATTTTATTTATTTATTTATTTTTGTGTGGTGCTGAGGATCACATTTGCTAGGCAAGTGCTCTACCACTGAGCCACAAGCCCAGCCAGGTTCTCACTTTTTTTCTTTTGGTACCAGAGATTGAACCCAGAGGTGCTTAATTACTGAGCCACATCCCCAACCCTTTTTATATATTATTTAGAGACAGGGTCTTGCTGAATTACTTAGGGCCACACTAAGTTGCTGAGGCTGGCTTTGAACTCGTGATCCTCCTGCCTCAGTCTCCTGAGCTGCTGGGATTACAGGCTGTGCCACCATGCCCAGCTGGGTTCTCACCACTTTCTAGGTTAACCCTTGCTGAAACAGAACTCTCCTCCCCTTAAGGTACTTCCTTTCTGCTTCATATGATACTGAATTAAAATTTTTTTTTGCTAATCAGAAATTCCTGATAAAGAATTAAATCTGAATATTTAAACCACTATATGACAGTTGACTTTTTAAAAAAAATATTTATTTTTTAGTTGTAGTTGGACGTCATACCTTTATTTTATTTATTTTTATGTGGTGCTGAGGATCGAACCCAGGGCCTCGCACATGCTAGGCGAATGCTCTACCACTGAGCATTCAACCCCAGCCCCTATATGACAGTTGATTTTAAATTTAAAATTATCTGTGCTAACGCAGATAATCAAAATTAGTAAGAGAAGGTACCTAGAAGCAAACCATATGGTATAATTTTGTGTGTGTTTTATGTACACAGAGTTTTGAAGAATCTGTAATTATATTACACCTTAATTTTTCCTAGGATGTTGAATTTATTTGAACAAAAATGCTTCATATTGTTTCTTTTTAAAATATAGAAACATACCTACTTGGCCAGTTGCCACTATGTTGATAAATTTGGGGTGCTGATTTACAGTGAGGCACAGAATATCATCATTATGTTCCTGATAAAAACTTTGAAACCCTATAAAGAAAGAATTTGAGAATTAAGTTAGAAAACTTTTAAGATATAACAACCAAATGCATTTATCTAGCACTATAAACTAACTTATCTGCTTATTCAACACACAGTTTTTGAGTACTTACTATACACATTATCAAAGGATAAAGAATCAGATGTTTTAAAAAGATAGAAATCTGACAGGGATCAACCATATGATCTGAAGGATCAATGGTATGATCCAAGGCTGAAGATGCCAAGTACCACCAAAGACTTAAGAATCAAAATGCCATGGGAATTTAGCACAGGAAGACTTATTCTCATTATGGGAATATGATGCTTCTGCACTGATGCAGACAGATTCTGCAAATGTGAAGGAGGGTGGGGAAGGGCATTTTAGGTAGGTAGAGGAACCCTGAGGAAAGGCACAAAGGCAGGGGTATGCATATATAATGACTCCTTTGGCTGTAGGGTCATGAGGAAGAAAAGTGAGCAATGCAGTTGGAAAGGGAAGTAGGGACTAGAATTATGAAAGATTTTCAAGTCTTATGATCTTTGTTTTGGTTTCCTAAAGAAAAAGATTCACCAGGATCATACAAAAACCAGAGATAATTTTCCCTTTAATAGTTTGGGCCATATTTATTAATATTTCATATTTATTCTGCAGTCAGTGGAGAGGCTCTAAAGTTTTTTGATCAAAGAATTAATGAATCCCCCAAATAGAAGGGAGACCAATACAGTAGAGGAAAGGGATCAAGAGGGAGGGAGGAAGGGAGAGTGTGGGGAAGTCCTAGGGAATAAAATATACCAATTATGCTATGTCTATGTACAAGTATACCACAATGAATTCCATGCATATATAATTATAATGCACTCATTAAAATAACAATAACAGAAGGGAAGTCAGTAGAGTAGAGCAAGTAGATGGGGGAGGGAGGAGGGAAGGAAAAGAGAAGGTACTAGGGAATAAGATTGATCAAATTATGTTATGTGCATGCACATAACATAGTAATTACCACCACTGTGTATAATTATAATGCACCAATTAAAAATAAAAATGAAATTCTAGTATGATAAAAATGGAAGTAATGTGATTCATCTAGCAGGATTGACAGTGAAGAGATTTCAGGAGACTATGAAAGTACTCTACACAGGAGGCAATAAAAAACTAGGTTTATACAAGTAAAATGATTAGGTAGGACGTGAGGTCAGAACAGTGGGTTGAATCCATATTAGAGGACCCTGAATATCAGGATCTCAAACAAAAGAAAACAAGACTAAAAACTCAATGATTACTTTTAACACACCTACTATTTTAAATTTTTTCTTGATATGAAATATGATTTTTACTTTCCAGGGCTGTGGGTTCAGTTAAAGAAACAAACAACTAATTATGAGCTGTTGGCTAAGTTGGTGGAATATCAGCTAATGAATCTATACTTCCTAGACTATGAGCACAGTAATGTAAACTGGTTGGAAGCCAAATACTAAGAATTGAAGCAGATGCCTCATCTCCCCCTCCATCCTCTCTCAGCACTTCATCATTAGAAAAGTGATTAATTATAAATCAGAAAGCTAAATATCAAACCAAAAGTATAAACATTAAAGTTTATATATATATTTATTCTTTTCATGCTTGTCTCATTTTACTCTTTCCCATTCTCTTGAAGGATATGTGAAACCTCAATTAAAAAGGATTTTCTAAGTAGTACTTTTTAAAATGGCTCAAATTATTAAATGAAAAATTGCATGTAATTCTGGTGAATCCTTTTCTTTAGCAAACCAGAAAAGAAAGATCATATTAATGATTAATACTGACAAGGGGAGGAGGATAATGATGCACATAATTTACTCTTTATCCATTCAGAATGAAACTCAAAGGAAAACCCAAATGACTTATCAGGTAGACTCTGTTTTTGCTTTCAAACTTCATAAAGTTTGCAATCATATGTAATAAAACAGAATTAAAAATAAAATACTTAACATCATTGGATCATATTTAATAAGATAACTCTATTTGCTCTTCAACAAGACTGTTAAATAAACATCAAGGAATATTTTCTCACATTCTTGGATCAGACAAGCAATAATCAGTAAACCCACAGACAAAAAGCTTTCTTGCTTGGCTTTCTAAGGCCTCACTAATCACCCCAGTGGTCACTTACCCAATGTGCTACTTTCAATCACTGTCAAAGACAACCATCCAAACCACCCATTCTTATGATGAGGTTATGGGAAAATAGAATTAGAGGCACAATGATTTCACTGTAAAATAGGATTCTAATGTAGTGAACCTTTACTTTTAATAGAGATCTATGAGAACTTGGCCTTATAAAATACTTTTCTGCTGTATCATACTCTATTAATACTAAAGTATAACTAGATAGTGCCATAATATGAAATATTTTTTATTCTGGATCATTTCTCATATATTTCAATTATTATTTATAGGTTTAACAAAGAAATTTAAGCTCCTAGTTAAAAGATTTTAAATTAAAAACAGAGTATATAAGAAGATAGAGAACTAGGGTTTCCTACCTGTAGCAACATTGTGCAGAATTCCAACTGATGCAGTGTGATAAATTATATCATCACCATCATTTAAATAATGTACATTATTCCTGCAGTCTCTGCCTCGATAACCAAATACAAGCTCCAACACGAGGTCCTATAACAATAATGAAACCATTATACAATTACTCTCTTCCTCATGTCTAAACGTTCACCAATATTCTGTGATGTACATAGCATTAGCATCTTCAGTCAAAATGGAAGACGTGTTTTTGATGTTTTACAGAGTTCAAATACAAAATTAAGCTAGATATATTTTCTCTAGCCTGTTTTGGGCAAATGAAACACATTTCACAGTTTATACTTTTTCTATATAAAGTTATAAAAAGGAAAAGGGAATCACAAGGTTATCCAATTCTGAGAATTTCAAATTTAAGATTCCATATGAAAGAATACTTCAATTTTTATGATTAGTCAGAAAGAAGAATTTGATTTGTACTCATTGTTAGTTAATTATTTGCTCAGCATAGATAACTCAGGACAAATTATATCAAAGTCAGCTACTCTGAAGAATCCAAAGTTGTCTCTGACAACTCATGCTGAAGGTTCTGGCAGAGAAGGCTGCAGGGAGAAGCATTCCTGTTTTTCATTTCAATCCCTCTCCTATAGCTTTACACCTTGCTCAGGGCTCATTTAGCACAATTTGCTTATTTGCTGCTGATGCTGGGATTATGAAAGGTCTGGGAGGACCTTTCTTTTTCCTCAGCTAATGCTGAAGGTTTCTTTGAAGGAAGGAGGGACAGAAGGAGGAACAGACTTCATGAATCCTGTATAGTGACTATATCACATGGGGTAAAGGTTCCTGGAGTGGTGTAAATATTTTATCTTCAACTTATGAATTCAGGACACTAAGTATAAGACATGACTTCTGTAAGTAATAGATCACTCACATGTATTTATGTTTGGAAGTTCTCATTTAAAAATTAAGAGAAACATAAATTTATTTACCAAAAATCTCTGCTTGTTGGTAGCAGAGATGGAACCCAGGGGTGTTCAACCACTGAGCCACATCCCCAGGCCTTTTTATTTTTTGAGACAGGGTCTCTCTAATTTGCTGAGACTGGCCTTGAACTTATGACACTCCTGAGTAGCTGGGATTCTAGGCATGTGCCACTACACTTGGCAAGTTAATCAATTCTTAAAATCAAACAAAATGATTATTCAATACACTTATTTTCATGAAAACTAATGACTTGGGTGTTGGGGCGTTTTGGGCCGCCGCCGCCTGATGCTGTTACTCGGGGCCGCTGCGGCCGCCGCCTTTCAGACGCGGGGCCTCCAGATCCGGGAAGCTGGCGGGCCCTCCACCTGCGGCCGCCGCCTCCTACCTGGCTCTGCGCGCTCCTCTGCTACAGCAGTCACTGGCGGCCGATGCGGGCTCCGCGCGGAGCTACAGCCAGGAGTCCAAAACTACCTACCTGGAGGACCTTCCACCACTCCCTGAGTATGAATTGGCCCCATCCAAGTTAGGAGAGGAGGTGGATGATGTTTATCTCATTGGAGCTCAAGGATTGCCTTGGTCATGTACTGTGGAAGATGTGCTTAACTTTTTCTCAGACTGCAGAATCCGCAATAGTGAGAATGGAATACATTTCCTTTTAAATAGAAATGGGAAACGAAGGGATGATGCCTTAATTGAAATGGAGTCAGATCAGGATGTGCAGAAAGCCTTAGAAAAGTACTGCATGTGCATGGGTCAGCGATATGTGGAAGTATAGGAGATAAATAATGAAGATATGGATGCCTTAATGAAGAGCCTACAGGTCAAGTCGTCACCTGTGGTGAATGATGGTGTAGTTCGATTAAGAGGACTTCCTTATAGTTGCAATGAGAAAGATATCGTGAACTTCTTTGCAGGATTAAATATAGTGGACATTACTTTTGTAATGGACTATAGAGGGAGAAGAAAAACAGAGGAAGCATATGTGCAGTTTGAAGAACCAGAAATGGCCAACCAAGCCTTGTTGAAACACAGGGAAGAAATTGGTAACCGGTATACAGAGATATTTCCAAGCAGAAGGAATGAAGTTCGAACCCATGTTGGCTCTCATAGGGAAAGAAAATGGCATCTTCTCCTATTGCTAAGTATATAACTGAGCCAGAAATGGTCTTTGAAGAACATGAAGTAAATGAAGACATTCGACCCATGACAGGTTTTGAAAATGAGAAGGAGATAGAATTGCCTAAGGAGATGTCAGAAAAGCTTCCAGAAGGTGTTGATTTTAGAACTACACCTTCATTGCATTTTATCCACATGAGAGGATTACCTTTTCAAGCTAATGCCCAAGACATTATAAATTTTTTTGTTCCCCTGAAGCCTGTGAGAATCACCATGGAATACATTTCCAGTGGAAAGGCTACTGGAGAAGCTGATGTGCACTTCGATACCCCTGAGGATGCTGTTGCAGCTATGCTCAAGGATAGGTCCCTGTTCAGCATAGTTCTATTGTGAACTGTTCCTGAATTCATGTCCAAAAGGAAAATAAGACTTCCAGGGACTCCAGATATAAGGATGAAGCAAGAAGCATTTCATGTGCACATCTTTTTTGGACATGGGCTATAAAATTCCTGTTTATTGGCAGAAACTGCTAGAGAAGGATTTTGGATTTGAGGTTAATGCTTCTAAGAAAAATTCATAGTGAACTCTTTAGAAGGAGAAAGATTCAATTTGGTATTATGAAATAAACCAAAAATCTTAAATTTTTGTTTAAACTGTTCAGGATCTGATTAAGAAAATCTGATTGATTCTTTATTTTATATAATTAAGCAGTTTGTTTTTATAGAGGATATGTTACCCATTGTAAAGACTACATATTTTTATTCAGTACTATCTTTAAAAAATCTTTTTCTCATTTAAAAAATAATCTGTTCAAAGTTTTGATTTTGCCTATGAATTGAGACCTCTGATGTAAAGCTTCTTATGGATGAAATAATGTTTTATTATAACCACTCACCAAAGCAAGGAAAGGTTTCAGACCTTTAAACCACTATGGTGTGGCAGATAGTTTTAATTTTAGCTATATTTGATTATTTAGATAGGGGTAGTGATTAAAATAAATAAATATCAAAGGTTAGTGAGTATAAATGACAAGTTGGCAGTTTTATGTCTTTAGAAATATTTTGCCTTTCTAAACCTTGTGGTTAAAGGCATTTAACATTGATGCCTGTCTGTTTAGGGGGAAGTCTAGTCTCAACTTAAAAGTTGATCCCCTTCCCCCTTTTTTTTTGGTTTTGGGTAAACTTTAAGTGTGTTAGTCTTGAAACTGTAAAGTGATATATCACAATAGTCCAGACTCATAAGGACATTAATGGCTTCACTTGATTTAAACCAGCTCTAGACAGGAAAAAAAATCTGTCTCCTCATTTGCTTTTCAGTGCAGTAGCACATCCCATATTTTAGAACAAGTAGGGGTGCCTTGCTTTAAATAAAAATAGCATTTAACGTATAATTGTGTGAAGGGTTTATGGATAAAGCTACTTCTGCCACATTGTGGCAGTACCTTCTGCTTTAATATTAACAGCTTGTTATTTAAATATTGGACAAAATGGCTGGCTTCAAAATGTAGTCATTAATAAACTAACTTTATGTGCACCTGTGTAGGAGAATCAAAGTTCTATATACTTTCTTTGCCTTGTTCCTGTTCTCAGGGTGACAGCTGCCACCAGAAGATGCAGTTATAGTTCTTAAAATTGAATTTTCCCAGATTTCAGAGAGGTGATATCTGGAAGAGAGATGATGTTTTCTCTCACTTAATATATAACCATCTTTGATTACCAGCTAAGATACAAAAATCACTGTACTGTAAGCAGTCAATAAATGGAGGCTTGCTTTAGGCTGAAGATTACCTAAGAGTATTTATTATTGGAGTATGTGAGTCAGTTGCTTATATATTTTATTACAGCAATTCCTGGTATATTAATGTAAGAAGAAATGATTAATTTTCAGTTGTATTTAAAAAAATTCTCCTGTAAGTACATGACTTAATCTAACAGATATACTACTCAGATGGAAATGTTTTCATATGTGGTTGAATGTGCCAAGTTGTGAGAAATGGTGTCCGTACTTACGTCATTTGTTCAGGGTCTGAACAATCCCATTCATAATTGGTATCTAATTTTCTTTAGAAAACACCTGTAAAGTCTATTGGGATTGGGTTTAGTGAGGAATTCATTCATTTGTACTTTGTCTTCAGCTAATGAGTTTCATTTGCACTTTTTTTGGGGAAAAGAATGAGAGCAAGAGCATTAAAATACTGTGTGATGGGTAAACTTGAAGGAATATGTCTTCTTGCTTCACTAAAGACTGAGTTCTCAGTACAAAACAGGTTCATTTTTAGGAAGTCACCATATGAATTCTTATATTCTACTTATTAGTTTTTGTTCATAATTTAGGCTAGTGAGTGAGTGATTGATTGATAAGGCAAATGTAGTTATTAGGAGAGGAGGAGATCCACATAACAGAATAAAAGTCTTATTCATTCACAGGACAAAAAAAAAAAAAGACTTGGGTGTTTTATAAAAGAAACTTTGGATACATTTTAATAACATTAAGGAGTGGGTTTTCCTTACCTCTATGGGTCTTTTCTTCTTGCCAACATTATTTGTCTGAAGTTTCTCTGGCTGTGGAGGGGCCCTGCTCACTGGGGGCCTGAAACAGAGAGATGGAAGGAGGAAAGGCATAGATCACTTGGGGCTTTCACTGGGTCTCCACACTTGCCCTCCAGAGAGACTACAACTTGCCAAAAGGGAAGTGGGTCTGTGTTCTGTTAGACTGCACTCTCTAGATCCTGATACCTTCTAATTCAGTAAGGGGGAAAGAAAATAATTAGAAATTTTATTCATTTTAATTTCTTGGTGTATGTTTCATAATGTAAATAATATACTAACACAAGAGCAGTTTGTTTATAAACAAATGTAAAAATGTTAGCTTGATATACAAAAAACATTCTTGATGGGTGCATTATCAACAAAGTCTAAAGTATTGCTCTAAAGCATCTAATACCTTCACATGACAGGTGCACAATATATATATATTTTATAGTACTAGGGGTTGAACTCAGAGGTGCTTTACCACTGAGTTACATACCTAGCACCCACTGCCCACTTTTTTTTTCTTCTTGAGGAAGGATATCACTAGCATGCTGAGGCTAACCTTGAATTTGCAATTCTCCTGCCTCAATCTCTTGAAATAATATTTATATATACATATGTATTCATTTATTTATATATTTGCCAGTGCTGGGGATTAAACCCAGGGCCTCATCCTCTACCACTGAGCTACATTCCCAGTCCTTTTTATTTATTTATTTTTTGAGATAGGTACTCACTAAATTGCCTGGAATGGCTCAAATTTGCAATCCTCCTGCCTTAGCCTCCCAAGGAACTGTGATTACTATGCCCAGCAAATTTAATTATGTTTCTATAATGTTATGTTTTTATATTGTTGGCAACATAAATCACATTTGAGTCTAAACTTGTACTCATTACTCCTCCTCCACGCTCTTTGCTTTCTCTGCTTCCCAAAGTCTTTACTTTTGGCTATTGCATTGTCATCAGTTATTCAAGGAAGACATTTTAGAGTCACAACACATTGCAAACCACATAGCATTATGTAAAAGGCAATTACTAGGGTTGTGGCTCAGTGGCAGAGCACTTGCCTAGCACATGTGAGGCACTGAGTTTGATCCTCAGCACCACATTAAAATAAACAAACAAAAGACTAAAAAAAAAAAAAAGGCAATTACTATTACCACTGCTTCCAACTACTCCTCCTCTCTTTTTTTCTTTAATTTTTATTGTTGATTGTTCAAAACATTACATAGTTCTTGACATATCATATTTCACCCTTTGATTCAAGTGGGTTATAAACTCCCATTTTTATCCGGTATACAGAATGCAGCATCACATTGGTTACACATCCACTGTTTTACATATTGCTATACTAGTGTCTGTTGTATTCTGCTGCCTTTCCTATCCTCTACTATCCCCCATCCCGTCCCCTCCCCTCCCATCTTCTCTCTCTACCCCATCTACTGTAA